TTTTTCAATTTTTAAGAATTAAGATGGAAAACCACTAGTTTCTATTAAATAATTAGTTCAACCAAATGAATTAATTTATACAGACGACTTAGCAAGAGAGGAACCCCTTTCTTTCTTTCTTTTTTTTTTTTTTTTTTTTTTGTGTCATTTCTCAGTTAATTCGTTTGTGGTGCAAAAATACGCCAATCCTACACAGGTGGTAGTGAAGTTTTAGGTATGGTACTTTTCCATATTAGAACATCGAACTATCTAAGGGTAGCATGTGCGCACCCACATTGCTCTTAATTAAGCTAGGGACGGATTGGTAATCTGCTGTATAGGTCTCTGCAATCTTCCTAGGGTTCTGCATTCTGGATTGATGTGATATTGGCATAGAGGAGAACAAACAAGGATTAATCATGGAATAGAAGTCAAGAAAGTTTCGAAAGTATATTGCAAATTTTGCTTCTAACGATGGACCCTATAACATGGAGTAGTGGATTCTCAAGATGATTTAGAAAATGTTAGGGTGGATGGAAATTGGAAAGGGAAAGAAATGGGTAATAGGAATGAATGCCACTAGCACCTAATGTATATCCTTTCGGTGCCTAATAATAAACAGGATTTGAAAAGTATTGAGAGTCACAAGCTCAATAATGAAATTCTTTGTATTCACAGTTTATAATACATTTTTACTTATTAAATAAAAAAAAAAAAAAAAACTCAATAATGAAAAGTTAACATTCCATTTTCATGCAAACTAATTTCATACTTAGAATTCATTTTTCATAATTGTGTGTTACATAATGGAAGATAATACACATGAACATTCATTTTCCCACCCCATATTGATTCCATTGCTTAAACTCACCAGAATCTGCGTCTAAAAAAGGAATAATGCTAGGCCAATAGGTCGTTAGCATCTAGACTGAGTAGCATTCCACCTTAAATGAGTGTAAAGATAGATTTACAGATCCATACAAGAGAGACATTTCTTCTGAACTTTAGTAGAATGGCAGTAGCTTAACTTTGCCCGAGGTTTAGGGTAGCATAAGATCTGACAGAGTAAGGATCCACCCAAATGATCTTCTCATTTAACATTAACAAGGGGATAAGCTAGTAGTTCTAACCTTAATTACAATAATAATGGAACATGTGAGGAACTTAGCCCTTCGTCTGGGGCAACTTAAAGAAAACTGTCTAACCAGAAACATCAATCCAAGACCCGGATAACTCGGATGATGTTTCCAAGACCTGGAGAACTCAGATTCTGGTGGTGTTTGTCTCATAGCATAGAAATGATCAATGCAGCACCTAAGGAATGGTAGTTGAATTAGCATCAAGCCAACTGACAGAACGAGCATACACAGTCCCCACTTGCCGACGTTTTGGTAGGGATGGGTGAAGGGACTAAAGATATATATTGATAAAAAAATCCTCTTACACACAGCTTTTATGTATAAACCTTACATAAAATTATAATCATTCATTTTCTCATTCATTTTCCACGTCGAGTGGCTCAGATTTATTATAAGTTCTCGTATGAAAAGATGATTATTTTTTTAAAAATAAATTAAAAAGTGAATAAATCTCAACCATTCATAAAAGATACGAATTGTTAGAATTTTGTGTAAATTGATCCTAATTGATATATATATATATATGTCATTTGTTGACATTTAGTGCAGCCTTCAGAGAAGAATCAAAACATGGACGAGAGTTTACAATCTATTTGGTTATATTTCTCTGTGAATTCCAGAAAAAAGAATCATTAAATTTTTTCAATGGGATGAATGAAATTGTATGTACAGATATTTACAGAGAAAGAACCAACTTCCTTGAATAGGAAAACAAACTGGATATTTTAGCTGCTGATGTCAAAGTACTTGGGATTCGATGGAAAATCATATTCCACACGTAACTGCAATGTGAAGATATTTTCATTAGATGGGTGGAATTGACTTGAAGGTAAAGAACTCAGAATCTGTAAGCAAACTGATGCCTAGAAAACAAATACTGAAGCACTAGGATCTACCACTGCTCCATGATAGGACTGGACCAAAATTAGATATCTCGGTAACCCTATATCCTACATTCCAAGAAAGAAGGAAATTGTGCGTCCATTAAGTGTGTGAAGCAGGCATAACAATCTCTGGGAGAGTTCTAGCCCAGTTCTTCAATGCTAGTAACATGATCATGAAAATCTTTCTACATCAGTCAACAATATTCTTAATTTATTTATTTTCCCTTAACAAATATGTCTAATTGCATTTCACCTGAATAGCCATTCAAATATTAAGGCAAGCTCTAGATTCTTCTCCTCCATAAATGGATAGTACTGAAACTAGTTTGTTTGTTTGTTTTTTTGAACAGTTATAATACTGAAACGCTAATAACTGCTAAGTCAGGTAAAGTTTAAGGTAGCTGAGTATCGAAACATCAATTGGCCATTAAGTGGAATAAGGAAAATCAACTGATGCCCAAATAAGCATGCCTAACAAACGCCCTAGCTGCATTCCCAAGGAGAGATAAAACTTAGAAGCACTTAAAGTGTGAAGATGCATTTTGTGAAATGAAATAATGTACCTTGCCCTCATCGGCATCTGAATGACGTTGTGGGAAAACCACCCTCATATCACCATACAAGTAGAAGTGCCTCTCTCCTCCAATGTCCATTTCTTGTGCTGGTATAGATAGAGGATCTGAGTTGCATCTCTGAAGAGATTTTAAACATTTCTTGGGGAAAGGGCATAAAAACCGGAGGTGAAGTGCATAACGCAGAACACCAGCACCAGCAGAATTCTTGTTGATCTTTGATGAGTTATGTACAAATTTTCTTTGATTTACAGGGCAGGTGTTTGATGGGCTGTTATTTTCACCAGTTCTTTTATGTTCACTGCTGTTCAAGATACTGGACTGATTGGCTTGATCCAAAACAAAACTAGAGCCTTCGGTTTCCACGTATTTCACGTGATCAACACCATTCCTATCAGAGTAATTGCTGCTAAGTGGGGATGACTGACTACTATTTTGAATGGAAGATTCTTTGACATCATTCATTGCCTCGAAACCTTTGTGTCCTCTCCCTGGTATACGAGATTCTCCACAGGAAGCTAAAGTGATCCTTTGACGCAGAAATGTCTATTTGAAACATGTATAAAGCACAAAATAGGTAGCAAAACACAGGAAAAAATGGTCACAATTGGAGTCCCAGTTAATATTGGTCATACATATGAAAGAATAAATGGTAAGCAAATCGCAACAAACTGAATATATGCTTCATACAATTCTAAAATAGGACCAAGACAGATTGCAGGTCTAAACAGCTGTAAACAGGCTGTTTGCTACTTAATAGCATTAATTAATTAATTTATTAATAATAATAATATCTATTTGCAATAACCTACCATAAAGTGGATGCTACTGGTAAGTTATTTCTGAAAATTACAGCAACTATAAGCATGAAGTTCTTATGAATCTGGATATTGAAGATACTGCTCATGCTGACAGAATGCAAGTATAAGGTCATGTATTTTTCAGTCAAGATATACCTTGGTACCAGTTGGCATGTCAGTCAGATCATAGCTACAAATGAAGGTGTGAATGGGGGTCTTTTCTGGGTTGCTCAGTACCTGACACAACCAGTTAATTACGCCATCAGTTGTTCACAGCAAACTCTCCAACTATATCACAACCTTTATATTTTGTAGATTTAAACTTGTAAAATAACTGTCAATCAAAATCTCGATGTTTGCCCTGAACCCTATGGCATTGAATGGCATGAAATACATGTAGAAATAACATGTGATGCACCATACGTTTACAAAATTTCAACTTTTATCTTAGCAACTTTGCAGAATGGAAATCTTGTTCACAATGAATCAAAGGTTACCTACTTGGTGGTGGGGTATAGAGGTTAGGAGGGATCAATGTTAATAACCAATGGTATAATGTTCTAAGAAAATATAAATTACCAATTGTATCCTCCCCTTCATGGGTACTTGAAGGCGGCTCTTCTCTGTGTGGGAATCATCCATGCCAAGACTCCTTTTTGTTTTTGGGCTTTTATTCTTGTTTCTTGATGCATTCCCAGCAAGATCTATTGATGAATAGTAAAGCAAGTAGTTATCTCCATCCACACTAGTTACCCCAAATGGAAGCTTCTGTAATTTAGGCGAGAAATCACCCCCAGTAATGTTGAGAACAGCAAGAAACCCATCAATTCTCTGCAGACAAGAAATGACCAAACTAAAATTAACCCTAGGAGATTTCTGGGGACAAACAGGAATCAAAGATGTCACCTTATATTACAAGCCAAGAGCACTAACCTGATTAACTTTTGTAGATACCAACCGACCAGATAACAAGGACTCCTCAAATGAACCAACCAATGATCTTCTGTCAGGCACTCCACTAAGACTCCTAAACTGTTTGCTATTTTTAGGAGTAATATTTAAATCCTGACTTCCATTCTGACCAATGTATGAGGTAAACTCTGGCCTACAAATATCAATCTTTTTCTTCAGATTTTCAAAATTGTGCATTGATGTCCTAGAGAACTGAAAATCCTTATCCTTCTGGCCTTGGTGGGTTACTTTAAGAGAATTTTCCATATCCTTGAAGGTCATGTGGACATCATCTAGTTCATTTGCAGTCTCCTTGCATTCTCCAGCAGACTTTATTCCTTCAGTAAAATTTGGACCAAGAGGAGACAAAGGTGGTGAGATGGCTTTCTTAGCAGGTATCACCATAGCCTGTGTCTGGTGTCTTTTGTTTGTTCTTTCAGCAGAATGATTGAATCCTGGTGAAAATGAAAAACGATTATGAGGTTGCACAATTTTATTCTCAAGCTGAGGACCATCAGTGAAAAGAATGGGGTTTGCTGGATTATTATCCTCTGGTGATTTACTCCATTCAGGAAAACAAGACATTGACCAGACTGGAGGGTTTAAAACACTGGAGCTGCCAATATGAGCTTTCTTATGCTCTTGTGATGAGGAAATGCCGCATTTGTCATTTTCACCTTCAAAATCACTTTGGTAAATACAATGTCCAATGTCAACTGCATCACTATCAAACTGATTGCAGTGAAGCATTCCATTCAAAGGAGATAATAAGCGCTTCCTGATTGGTAATCTATTGGTCTGAGTTGTACTACCTCTGTTGCTAACTACAGTTGATGAAGTTTTCTTTCCATTAAATATATCAGCTGGAGAATGCATGGAATTCCTTGTTTCAAAATCCATAATCCTAGGAACAGGTGCTTGAATATTCTGTCCATTTTTAACTGTATACCAGCAACTTTTTTCCTTGATTCCAATCTTCATCCTATGTATGTTTGGTCTAACATCTTCATGCATATTCAAAGTGTCAGTATCCCTCAGGTGCTCCTCAGTAGTTTTCCTTTGCAAATCTCCAAATTTTGATTGTGGCAAATCCACCAGCATTCGATTTCCCATGTTTCCTCCATGCTTCCCAGTTAAACCACAACTACTCACACCCAACAGCTGAGGTGGATGTTGAACAAATGTGCTTAGTGCTGTTGCTACTTCCTCAGCAATACCACTGGAGGAAACCTGAGGCAAACGCATCTCTACTATTAAGAATATTATCCTTCTAAATTTCCAATTGATTTTTTCTTCCTACCTTAACAACTTTATGCACGGTAATCCCTAATTGTAGTTATGCATTGCTTCAACCCTTCATTCCAATTTCTGGCGTATCATTTCTATGGAGTGGAAGATGTGATGTTAGCTATTCTAATTCTAAATAAGGGTAGAAGTGCCATTATCCATCTGCCATCAGGGTTCACATAACCCATCAGATAGAACTAATGAACTTGAGCAGAAACCTGATATCCCAAAAGGGAACACCAAATCTCACTTTTATGCAGACACCCAATGCCAAACTGCAGGTGGTTGTGGGCTTTCTACACTCCAATGTACCATCCTGCAAGAACATTGAAACTTCCAGCTAGTGATACAGGGACATTACAAACAGAGACTGAATTTAATTGTATCTAGAACTCTAATAATGTATGTGCACAAACACATACACACACAAAAAAGGGCCTGCAATCTCCTCTTGACATTAAGAAAGCAACACAAAGCAGAAAACCTAGATATCATTCAACTTAATTCCCTTTTCTTTTAAGGCACACACACAAAAGAAACAAAAGAAAAAGAGACAGAGAGACACTTACGAAGATCACAAGAAAATGAGAAGAGAAGTGATCCACTCCCCCAACCAAGCATGATAAATAGTTATATCAACTTTTCTGCTAAAAGTTTGTTTTCTTTTTTTTTTTGAAATTAAAGATAAAAACACCTATTTTTCGTGAAAAAGATTATCTCCAAACATGACTTTGTCAAATTAAATATTATATCCTTGGATGAAACTTTTTCAAGATACCAAATTGATAGTAGTTATTCTACAAATACCAAAATCATTTCCAATTCGCCCCCAGCAACAATATCTCAAATTCACTCCAATAGAACAGATAATTCAACAACAATGTATCTACAGCTACCACTATCAGTGTAGAGTTGCAATCAAAACCCAGCTCAGTTACTTGATAAAGAACCATACCGAACATTCACTGTAAAAGTATGGGTTCATCTTCTAGTTTCCTCCAAACCTCAAACAAAACCCAATACCATTCCTTTCCTATCAGAATTTCTACAAACCTTAAGTTTGGTTTACCAATATTATATTGATTTTCATGAAAGCCAAAACCTTCATACTTGAGGTTGAGGACCAAACAAAAACTAAAACTTTTGATCAGTTTCTCTCTTATCAATTTTTCCAGGAAACCAAGCAAATGATTGTTAAGAACACAGAAAAACATCAAGATGGTTTTTAATATCATCTAAACTAAACGTCTAAATGCCATCTAAAAATCAATGATAAAACATTCAAAAATGAAAACAGAAAATGCACCGGTGAAGCTCCTAATCATCTAATCCCAAATCCCTCCTCAAAATCTTCTAGGTACCTCTACACCTCAAACAAAACCCAAAACCAATCCTTTCCCATCAGAATTTCTAAAAGGCTTAAGTTTGGTTGATCAATATTTTATTGATTTCTATGACAACCAAAGCCTTTATAATTGAGGACCAAATAAAAACTACAACTTTCACTTTCTCTCCTCCCAATTTTTCCAGGAAACCAAGCAAATAAGTTTTAAGAACACAGAACAACATCAAGGTGGTCAACCCAAAGATATGATTTTTATCATCATTCCAAGCAAAACCTCAAAATGCCATCTAAAATTAATAACAAAACATCAAATATAGAAAACAGAAAACGCACCAGTGAAGCTCCTGATCATCTAATCCCAAATGAACAAACCCTCCACCAAATCTTCCAACCTAAAATTCACCTCTAGAATAAGAAATCCATGTCTGTCCTTTTTATCCCACAAGCTTTTCTCTTTTTCCTCATCCTTCCAGCTTCTTCATTTCACTTTGCGGCTCCTGATGTTTGCATCCTGAAAGACTTCCCCTTTCTCTTTCTCTATATACCCATAAATACCCATAATTGTGTACATTTTTCTCTATCCGTTTCTCGTGTACAGTGTTGGACAATTTCCGTAGCCCTCCCAAAATTGAAAAAGCAAAATAAGGCGTCATTGCTTCCCCAAAGTTCTCTGGGTGGCTGTGTCCACATTCCAAGTTGCGGCCCTTCATTTTTCTTACCTGTCGTTTGTTTGTCTACGTAACCTTGTTTGGTTTGGAGAAACAGGCTAACAGCCCGACGTGGGACATGAGATTCCTCTTGGGAGTTGGAAGGAAATAGGGCCCTGCCTATTGTCACAGTCAAAATGGTTAAATGCTATCAAAATTTTGATTTTTTAAAAAACTATTATTTAAAATATTAATTTGTTAGTTAATTTTAATTTATTAA